CCATGTCATTCTCATATATTTTATACCTTAAGCAGCTTCTCTCTTTCGCTTATTCGATTCGTTAGAGCATGGTTTCTTAAACTTTTTTTATTCGTGACCCCTTTTTATCACTGAGATTTTTTCGCGAACCCCAGGACCCCTTAATATTTACAAAAATTTTGTGGGACCCCATAAGTATTGCGGAAATCCGATACACGCGTGAGCGAAACTGTCAGTTTTTTTCACTTGTACTGTAATACACTATTGCAGTTTTAGGTCATTAATTTCTAATTTTAAGACATAAAAGAATGTGAAATTTTTAAATAAGTATCAGACGAAATGACAGCGTCACGTGCAAAGCAAAGGAAAATGAATGTTTATATTATAAAAAGAATGCGTCGAAACATTCTCATTTTTTTCTTTATCTGTATTGTCTTATCTTTATCTATTTTCAGATAAATTGTGTAAAAATGTTTGGTAACTGTAAAATTATTATAATAAGTTAAAGAAATATCAAAACTGCTAAAATTTTTGGCGACCTCCTTGGGATTCGCGACCCACAGTTTAAGAAACCCTGCGGTAGCGAATCGAACCTCAGGCTTTCTAGTAAGTTTTACATTATTAATTTTAAAGAGGAATAATTTATTCAGATTTTAAACGTTGCATTAGGTTTATAAGAATTTTCTCTTGAAACAGGTTACAGTGATTTTTCAACTGAGCAGGGAGAATTTCCTTCTTATTCAGATTTACTTGTCTAGTAACACCAGTCAGTAATTTCACGCTCCAAAAAAATATTCTGAATTGCAGTTTTATGCACAAGAAAACCAATAAAACAATATATCTATCTTACTTTTCGGATGTTTTTGTAAGAATCCATAATAATACAATTCTGAAACAAACAATATTGTAAAGATTTTGTAATACAGTGTACTCTTTTAGAGTGTGTGCTTTTCTTGCTTTTATACTAGGAAGAAAAAAGTTATTTAAAATGCAGTTTTTATCTGCCTATCCTGCTACTACTTATTTTCTTTTATTTAAAGCTCTATGTCTCGCAAATGGAGAATCACCAGGCAAAGATGAGAGATACGTAATTTAAAATCCCTTTTTTTTGTTTTACGCTCTAAACACCATATATCCATGGCTTTGTGACATATCATAAAACCATTCAACCATTTGACAAAAAAGAAAGAAATTGAATGCAAATTAAGTCACTCGCATTTATCTAATATTTTAAAAGCTTCATAAATTGCATTTTTTAACACCACTCCAGTTTTAATTGAATTCTGTACTTGATCAGGGATAAATAGAAGGGCTAGCTCATTTCTTTGTTGGACTCCTCGCCGACGCGAGCCTAATGGGGAAAATCAAGGAGGTTAGAATAGATGGAGTAAGCCTTCCCCGTATGTTCCCATGCAATGAAAATGAAGCCATGATACGTCACGATGCGTGACGTCACGACTGATATGTTTGAGTCGTCAGCCATGTTTTTGCGACCCTTTAGGGTTGCAATTTCGGTTGGGGGCCAATCTTTGGCTCTTTAGCCGTATTAGTTAAAACATTTTAACATTTTACTTTTAGAGAATCTTAAGTTCCGATTTTTCGCATATAGAGATGTGTGACTTCTCTCTCGTAGTTTTTTAAAATGACGAATTTCTCATATGATTCATGATGCGTTTTTTTAAAACATTTTCACATATACTTCAAATTCATATATAAGTTACAAAAACTTTTTTGTCAACTTACTTCTGAATTTTCAGTTTATACTTTTACATACATGCATACAATACATGCATAATGTTAGACAACTCAAAATGTACTTTTTGACAAGAGATTTCCCGCAGCTGTATTCTTAATTTCCATGAGGTTATAATGGGTTTGAAATCACGTTTTCATATTTATGTAACTACTTTTCTTTTATAATTCAAGGTAGTTTCATGTATTATATAAAAATTATAAGCCTTTCAATACAGTACTTGTATGATAATTCTTATATCTTAATATCTAACTATACCATTTCAGTACTGATGGAGTTAAGCATATTACTTTTATTTACATTACATGTTAAATTATTTAGAGAACATTAAAGCTGTGGCTACAAATTTGTATGAAGAAAACTTCAGTAATTTTTAAGTTTCTAAAGCTTTTCTGAATCAAAAGTTACTTTTCTAAAATTGTAAGCAAATTTTATATGATAAGTGGATAAATACATGCTGATGCTTTAATATATCTAGCAAGTTCGCATTTTTTAAACTTCTGAAAAATTTAATAGCTTGTCTGCATAATAATTCTTGTTTTTCATTTTTAATCTACTTCTTGTTTATCATTTTTAATATGCAGTTTGAAGTTTGCTCACATGGAATCGAATGTCTATTATTGCAACAATTTGGTTAAAAATGTTATTTTGTGTGCATATCCAGAAAAAGGTAGCTAAAAGCTTTTATGATTTTAAATACTGATTTGAGATATACACACCTTTAAATTTTGATGTTTTAGCAGAATGCTATAAAAACTATTTCAATGCTCTAATGGCTGTGGGAATCTATATTTTAAAAATATATTTTTATATAAATTTAGCAATGTAAAAATTCCATATCAAAAATACTATTTTTGTTCTTTATTTAGCTAAAAAGAAAATTTTAAAAATTAATAAATACACACATAAATAAATAAAAAATAAAAAGAATACCTTTCCACACAAAATTTAGACACTATTTACCGATACATTTGCTATTGAAAATACTTTATACAGTACATAGAAAAACTGGTAAATTTATGAATTAAACAAGGGAAAAAACATACATAAAATTTAAAATTTTAATTTTATATTTGCTTTATATGAGTAGAGAATTTTATATTTGCTTTATAGAAATAGTGAATATTTGTTAAATTCAAATTTCATTCCTTGAAGCAATGGCACAAGAAAATTATTAAAATTAATTTAATTTTACTATTTTCTCGTGAAACAATGTTGTTAATATATTATTACACATATCTGAATATTTAATGATAATTCAGTACTCTTCTGTTATCGGGATGGAAATCAAAAATGTATGTATACACACATACATATGCATGGTTCATATATACATACATTCAATATACATCCATATAGAGATTTCTGAATCCGGTCCCGATAACAGAAGAGTACCAATAATTCTATAATTAGTTAATATCCTTATTAATTAATTTGCATAAGTAAAAACAAAAGTATTATTTAGCTTTAAATCTACATCTTTTGATAACACAACATATGCAAAATACTTGTACTTATAGTGAAAATAAAACAAAAATTGTTATTTTTCACTCTTTTTTTTCTAACACAGTGCAAGTCATTCCATTATAATCAAATTTTATTAAAACACAGTAACTGGATTTTTTCCATTCCAAAAAAGTCAACACCTTTATATAGAATATACATAAAGTCAACAGCTTTGTATAGAATGATATAATGCTAGACCTACTTTACCTGAAATTTTACTTATATGATTTATATATAATAATGATATAATGCTAGACCTACTTTACCTGAAATTTTATTTATATGAATTTATTTATGGGAAATGCCAGAATAAATGCAAAAAAAAAAAAAAAAAAAACCATCTGAATAAATCTTAGCCGACACTGTTATGATAGTATTTTTGTTTTCAATAAAATGTTTTTAAGGTATACCATTTTAGTTCAGTTTTCCCCCCTATTAAAGGAGCTACCCTAAGAGACATATTTTATTTACATATATCTCATTAATATGTTAAAAATATAGCTTAAGTGAGTTTTTATGTGCATACTGTAAGGAAGGGGAAAGCCTTAATTCAAAACCTGTTTTAAAGCAGTAAGTAAATAAATAATAAAATACATTGCTTTTATTAGCATCTCAAAAAATAGTGTTTTGGCTTCTAAAAACAAATCCTAAGCATCACATCATGATAGATAATAATCTTACGTAAGAAGAAATATCTGATTAGGAATACATTCTTTATATTTATTTGATAAGATCAAAACATATATGCAACATCACATTATGAAAAATCCTGCGAATCATTACAACACTGTAAGACATTGATTAGTAAGGTAAACATCAGTTGATCATTCTTTCACAGTAGCAATAAATTTTTCATTCAAATTCTTAAAAATATGCCAAAACAAATTTACGATTGTGTGCTTAAGATTTAAGGTCACACAAAAGTAAATTTGATTTAGCAGAGCTTGATATCTTCCATAACATAAAAGTAACTGCTACATGATGGAAGTTTTTGTGAACAAAATACAAACATTTTATAAATACTTAACCTTAATGACTAACTTCAAATTAATCCAATAATGATGGAAACAATAATGTAATTGAGTACTGCAAATTTACTTTGTATGATATTTCTATGTAAAATCTGAAATTTATAATAGGTGAAGGACTTTACATTATTTAAACAATGAAGCCCCACTTCTGAAAGCGAGGACTTAGACAAGACATATAGGACATTAAAACATACATTACCATATTATTATATTACTCAAAATTATTACTTTCAATAATACTGTTCTTTTGCTTACTTAATGCATATTCCTATATATATGTAAAATTTAAAATTAAGCAAAAAAGTTATTTTAGTTTAATCCTGATTTTGAAATCAAAACCTCTGTGAGACTTTGAATGAAATCAAAATTTCAAAAATATCATATAATGCCTGAATTTCAATATTTTGATTTATTTATAAAACAAATTAGTCCATTTTTAATATGAAACATTTTTTATGAAAACTATAAAACTTAAAAAAACATACATTTTAAAAACTGGATATCATTGAATGGTAGTTTGGTAAACCCAATGCCTTTTACATGCTGTGGGGTCAACAGTTGTGTTGGATTAGGCACATTAAACAAGGCTTTAGTTTTTTAAACCCATCTTTCCTAGAACATTCAAACTGGTTTTTCTTCAAAATGCACCTTCAAATTTAACAAAAGCATGTATGAAGTTTAACATTAAAATCAAAAACACTAGTATTTAATTACAGTTGCATGTACTAAATGAATTTAATCACACTATTAAGAATGAAATTTTGTGAAAAATTTTAACTTTTATATGAAAATAGGACAAAATTAAGAATAAATAATTAAGTTTATGAAGCTTCCTGAAGGACACAGAATATATTTACCTCACTATACAGAATAACCTAAACAATTTATAATTTATGTTATACTTACCAATTTTTAAGACTGGCGCCAACTGATATATTTGGCGACAATACATCAGAATCAAAATACAGCATAGACCTTTAATACACTATTCGTACAGTAAAATTTAAATAAAAAAACGCCTATTACAATCCCAACCGAGACAAAGTTTACATGAAATATAGAATACAATTTTACAAACAGTATAAACTATTAGCAACAGTAAAAAACAGTATTGGCGATATTTTGCTGCACAAATGCACACACATTCCACAATTGATTTTATATTTGTAAAAATCATTTCAGCGTCAATAAGTGACAGCTAAATGAAAGTACACATTTTGAAAAAAAATAATAAGGGAATTTTTCTCATATGCTATGAAAAAATACGAAGCTGCACTTACTTCACAAAAACACGCTCCTGCGACCGAAATCCATTGATCTCGACCAGAAAGAATTACTTCTTCTTCGTCTTTTTTCATTTTTTGCTAAACAAAACATCCTAAAGTTATTTCTAGAATGATTTGACAATTTGGTGCAGCACATCTATCCATATTTCTCAAAATCAGGTCGAAACGATCAACAAAGCAATGCTGAACTAATAGCGAGTAGCAATAAAGTCAGAATAATAGAAATACTAAAATACCTGTTTATGGCATTTACTTATGAAATTAGCTGCGTAGCAGCGGGAATGATTGACATCCTTCACTACATTCACCAATTTTATCTGGCTGAGCAGTTTTAATACAATTATAAACAAAGCTTTCGTCTTATCCGTACGCTACAAGCTGGCTGATCAGTCGTGACGTCACGCTGTCGATCCTTCCTCGGCTTCAATTTTGTGACGTCATGCTTACTCCATCTATTCTAACCTCCTTGG